TATCAAATATAGACTTTGAGGTTGGCAGTTGTTTGACATAATTTTTGGTTCGAAACATCTTATTTGGGAAAAACATACATGTCCGATTCTTTTGCGTATGAATCATGTATTTATAACACAAAAATGAACAACAGTATTTGAGGCAAAAGTCCATCGAAACTCTTGAAAAATAGCTTTATTTTGTCATCAAACGATTCCTCGCAAAATTCTGCACCTAGTTAATCATGAATCGACCAAAAATAACAAGGGCCCAAAAATGGCTCTTATGCGTTCCCATTCTTTTTGCAACATTTTGTATTTTGCATATATCTCGGCATAGGTAAATGATAGAAGCCTGATTTTTTTTTAAAGATGCGCCTTGAAAAGCTCTACAAAAAATGTAAGAACAAATCCCTATTGACTTGTTCTGATGATGTCTCCTATACTTAAAATGAATAGGTCAGATGATGGTCCTATGCCCCATGGTATTAAGTATTTGGAAGACTATTTTTGTTTTGCAAATATTTCGCCTTGTGAAAATGACAACACCTTGACTTTTTTTCAAAAGATGCGCCGTGAAAAACTCTACAAAAACTGTAAGAATAAATCTCTATTGACTTCGTCAAGTATTGTCTCCAATACTCAAAATGAACAGGTCACATGACGGTGTTATGTTCCACCGTAATTGGTATAACAACAATATTTGGGAGACTTCTTTTTATTTTGCGAATATCTCGACTTAGGAAAATGATAACGTCTTGATCTTTTTTCCCGAAGATGCGCCGTCGAAAGCTCTACAAAATCTGTATGAGCAAGTTCCTATTGCGAAACAAAAATAGTCTTCCAAATACTTAATACCATGGGACATAGGATCATCATCTGACCTATTCATTTTAAGTATAGGAGACATCATCAGAACAAGTCAATAGAGATTTGTTCTTACATTTTTTATAGAGCTTTTCACAACGTATCTTTTAAAAAAGAATCAAGATTATGCGATTGATCTCTGTTGAGATATTGGAAAAATACTAAATGTTGCAAAACTTTTGGAACACCCGGTATATACTGTAGATATCAATCTATTCTACTAAAAACAGCAATGAAGAAAAGCATATTACTGAAATGAGATCGGAACTTATTGTGCCAAAAGATGCACCTATTTAATATACTATCACATGTATTTCATATTATCCTGTCATTATATCACTTGTCATCCTTACGCTACATTATTCTAATTTTATATCATCCTTATGACATATCATTTGTCGTGCTTGCGTGTATCATTCTTCTATATTACTTCTATACAATATCATTCTCATACACATACATAATAGTACTCCTAATGATCAATACTTGTTCAATACTATTGTAATTGTTCCGTGATACATTGTTTTCTTTTCACGAGAAGGTTAAGATACAAGTAAGGTTCATCGACATTGAAAGTCGATTCACTGGGCCCTAGACTGACGGAATGATGACACAGATGTCCTTATGTTGTTTAATAAAAATGAATTCTGTTCAATGATGAGTTTAGGACAAATCATTGATATTTGCAAAATGTTGTGTATTACATACTAAAGATATATTCAAACAGTTGACATAAAATATTGCAAGATGCCAATGTATATGATAAAGCGTATGAGTTAGTTGATTCTAAGGACTAGTTACGGTTATTTATCCCATAGCACTGATCATTTCTAATACTGATCTAGCTAGTAGTGACACAGACACGCTCCTTTCGCAGATAAGAATAATCAACTGTGCCATACAAATGGCTGATTGCATCGTAGAAACTGACGCGGGAAGTACCCGAACTGTTTAAAAGCTTCTGAGTTCGGACTTTGTACATAAGGTAGACCCCAATGAGTTATGGAAAACTCCAAAAGGACAAGTGCCCATAGGCCTTCCGTACAAAGTTATACGTAGAGGTTTTACTGAGATTTTAGCCTATATTACTGTATGCACTAAAGAATCAAATAGACGCTATTTTCAGCTGAAATTTTGCCCAAAGGTAGGCCTACTAGTAAGTAGAATGTCCTAGAAATTTCAGGTCAAAAGAATGTTCCCTTCACGAGATATTTAATCCCTCCAAAAAATATGAGATTCTCGAATCTTTCGTGAAATGTGACGGATTTTTGGGAATTCGATATCGTGTGAAGGGAACATTCTTTTGACCTGAAATTTCTAGGACATTCTACTTACTAGTAACCCTATCTTTGGGCAAAATTTCAGCTCGAAATAGCGTTTATTTGATTCTTTAGTGCATACAGTAATATAGGCTAAAATCTCAGTAAAACCTCTATAACTTTGTACGAAAGGCCTATGGGCACTTGTCCTTTTGGAGTTTTCCATAACTTATTGGGGTCTACCTTATGTACAAAGTCCGAACTCAAAAGCTTTTAAACAGTTGGGGTACTTCCCTCGTGAGTTAAGCCAGAAGAATGGTCAATTATGCCAAAATAAATGGTCAGTTTTACCATGACTCACGATACTTTGCACTATAGCAACAGTCACTTGTACCACGATTATGGTACTCTGAACTATCACAACGGTCACTTGCACCATAAAAATGGTCATTTCTACCACGACCGATGGTGCTTTCTACCATGACAACGGTCAACTGTACCATGAAAATGATACTTTGCACCATCACAATTGTCACTTGTACCACGACTTTGGTATTTTCTGCCATCAATATTCTTACTTGTATGACGACTCTGGTACTTTGTACCATGACAACAGCAACGTCTACCGCGACTATTGGTACTTTCTACCATGACAATGGTCACTTGTACCACGACTATGGTATTTTTTACCTTGACAACGTCACTTGTACCACGATTATGGCACTTTGTATCACAAGAATGCTCATTTGTACCTCGAATATGGCCGTTTGTGCCATAAAAATGGTCATTTGTCCCATAAAAATGGTCATCTGTCCCATAAAAATGGTCATTTGTACCATAAAAATGGTCATTTGTGCCATAATAATGATCATTTGTGCCATAACAATGGTCGTTTGTGCGATGAAAATGGTCATTTGTGCCATAAAAATGGTCGTTTGTGGCATGAAAATGATCATTTGTGCCATAACAATGGTCATTTGTGCTATGACAATGGTCATTTGTGCCATAAAAATGGTCATTTGTGCCAAGCGCTTGTTACAGACAGACAGACGGACAGACGGACAAGCAGACACAGGTGAATTACGGTTTCTAGACCCTAGCCTTTCAGTCTAGGGAAAAGGAAAAAAAGAGAGGAGCGAAGAACATATTGAGTTGATGATAGTGAGCGAGGTGAGTAAGATTAAACAACGACATATACACGTATGCGTGATACACATAGTTGTGTATAACTTTGTATGTAAAAGAAGAATAGTTTTGTTGAAATAAACAAGCAAGTAATTGCGACAAGTAATGAAAGCGTACAGAAATCAACAGAAACAGAGACAAAGCCAAGAACTTAGCGGTGTCAATTATCATTTTTTCGTTACACTTATTACACATCCTTTATACGCTGCAGATGACATCTCGAATGAGCAAGTCATTTGGAATCTACCAAACCATTTAGTTTTCATTCCAGTTTGTCAAATCTTCCCGATCTTTTTTTACGCTACATACAGTACGATAAAATGGAAAACAACTTTTTTTACATTGTGTTATCCACATATAATAGAGATTGTGCTAGAAACATGGAATGATTTGAGCAAATAGCAACGCACACAGATACTGTTGTCTATACTTGACTAGGAGTAGTCTGTTTTTCTTCCTTTCAGCTTTGCTGCAGAAAGCGGGTGTGCCATTGGTTCAGTTTCATGATGCCCGTCGTTAGTCACTTTAGACATTCCGTACATGTTATGCAAGGCAGAATTACAGCGACTGGAAGAAGCTAAGATTTTTCTGTCTAAGAAAAATATTTTAATATAAGCAAAGAGAATAAGTACGGTGATATAAACGTTGAGATAATTCAGCACCACATATTGGTATCTAGAAGATTCTTTATTTATCTTAAGTAGAATGTGACATAACAAATGACTATCATTTAGTAGATCAAAAAGGAGAACCACTATCAACAGAATGATAAGCAAATGAGTTTACTTACATTTCAAACGACGCTCTAGCCTTCAATTCTTGCTGCAGAGCGATATGCAGTCAGTAAGTATTAAGGTGCTTCATACATATTCAACTACAAAACAGAGAAATATCTTCAAAAAGGGAAGCACCTTGAATTTTGTATAATGTTTCTCGAGGACATCCTTTAAACTAGAAAGTTGGCATTTTTCTTATTTTTAGAAGATGAATAAAAATATATAGTGTTCAAAAATATTCATACGAACAAAAGATCAACTAATTTCAATTATTCATTATCAACTGTATTTACATTAGAAATAAGGTAAAATCAGTCAAAGCAACATCACGACAATGGCGAATACTAATAACAGTGGCACAGATCGGGGTAGCGATTTGAGAAAGAAGCCACTCAGTGATTCAAACAACAGAAGCAAGGATGCAAATAATAAGTCCTCTATTATTAATCAGGAATCCGGCCAAGACGGTACAGAAGACACTAATAAAGAAAGCCATGAAGCTTCCGAAAGCCGCCCGCAAGTCCAGAATGAGAAAGAATGCAGGGTTACAAGAGTTTCGATCAAACGAATTTTCAACCCGAACGTTTCACTCACACCCTCACATCCACGCCCTCATTCTGAGCATGCAACAGTTCCAGCAAATGTGCTCAAGCCGGACCAGGTTACCAGTCCGACTGGCTACCCAGGCCGACCGACATGCAGCCTATCAGCCAAGACTGAGACTGATGCACCTTCCACTCATAATAATTTCATGCAGAATAGTTCTGGAGCCAAAGATCAAGTCTCCAAAGGATGTGACCAAGTGAATCTGAATTCCAAAGCTGATGAAAATAAAAAATATTCTTCTTCCCGCAAAATGGTCATTGTTAGCATTATAGTGTTATTGTTGGTCATCATTTGTTTTTCTTATAATGATTATCCTGATTCATGCGATATGAGCAAATCTGAAAATAGAGATTTCAATGCTTTTTATGGTATCGAGTATTTGAACAACCATTTCGCAACAACAACAACGGTCGATGATTGCACTTCTACCTTTATATTTAAATCTGCATTACCTCAATCAATATTAACATTATATCAAGGAGCATCTTCATTCACGATATTAGGTGCATATGGCACTGGCAAAACATTATTAAGATGTGAATATTTTAAAACTTTAAATGCTGATCATTATTTAAAAGTCTTAATATTGAACAAAGAAATTACCGATTATATAGAACGATTTATAGCAAGCAAAAAATGGAATTCACAATATTGTGCAAATCATAGTTGCTTAAAAGATTGGTCCGGTGATGAATTTGCTCAGTTAATGCTATCAATTTTAGTAACGAAATTTATTGAAAACTATTCACAAACAGAAATAAAGTTTATAGATATACCAATCGAGAAAAAAATCCATTTGGTAACTATCATATGTTATTACTATAATGGAGATAGTATTAGCCAATTAGAGAATTTTGTAAATGGATTTTTGGGAAAATTTGTAAATACGTTTTTTGGAACAACTTACACAGCATCCTCATATAAAGCAAGTAAAGCTCATGTACAAATTTCAGAAAGGAATAAACCATTACTAACTCATCTTCAAAATGATTTAAATGAATTTGGTACTCTAAATAAAAATGTTGGAAAACTTCATTTATTATTAGCTATTATTGAAGGTGAAGGCTTTGAATATGAGTCAATACAGAAAACAATGTTGGGTCATGTAATAAGAGATTTAACAGATTTTTCATCATTTATTACGAAACATATGGAAAAGATACCTGTATTTATAATTGATGGTATTGATGAAAATCAATATTTGAATCCAAATAATGAAGTGAATAAAATATCCTTTGAATCGTTTTATCGTTCATCTGTCTGCGAAAAAATTCTTTCATTAACTATGACTAATTATTTTTATTTATCATTATTTTATCCAAAAATAGATGGAATTAATATACTTGATGCTATTGTTCGACCTGATAAATTTCCAACATATACACTAACATGGAACTCAAAATCATTATACAATTATGCTGATTATGTTCTTCAAAAATTAAATAAAAATGCTTCACGAACTCGTTGTAAAGCATTTACAGATTTCAAGACACTTGTTAATTATGAAGATCAGCGTATAGCTGAAATTATTGATGAAATACAAACGCCAAGAGAACTTCATATGTTTATGATGGAATTGATAACACAAATGAACCACGACGCAAGTAACGTTGAACGTCTATTTCCAGCAACAGAGAAAAATGTTCGAAATGCCTTTGAAAAATCTCTTGGGCTTTATTATAAGTATGATGAAGCTAACGGTTAACATCATGCTCTTAATGGTATTAATATCTAATAAATAGACATTGAACATATTTAGCATTCTAAATAGAACGCTTATTCATGATTTTGTTTTCTTTTTGTACTGATGTATGGCTCATTGAAGACGGTGTAGTTTCTTTTATGTTTGCAAAAAATAATAAAAATCCAGGTCTTTAGACAAATATGGTAAGAAAGGTAGGATCTAGATCAAAGGAAGTTTGAAAATAAAACACTGTAACTGCAATAAACAATAAACTTTTTCTCGAAAAATACAGATTAATGAACGATTTGCTGGATAACAACGATCGCCCACTAGAACAATAATAAAGCCACACTTTTCCCGTTCTCATGAAAGAATTTGCATACATTGATGCAATATATGCTGCAGAAAAAAGTTCGCAAAATTATAGAGAAGAAAATCGTTTTTCAATATGCAATGAGTAGATACGAAGGGTGTGGGTGAGTGTAAATCTGGGGGTGGGTGAATGTGGGTGTCTCTTTCTCTCTTAACCCCACACTCATCGATTTGAAATGATCTTTATTTATTAAGGACTTTTTTTTCTGAATAACATACTAATCAACATAGAAAATAACTTGAATTTATTTCGATATCATCTACAGTCCTGGACAAAAGTATCCTCCCCTCCCTAAACTGGTTTTATTTCTTAAAGTTATCATTATTGGCAGTAGGTAACAGAAGTTTGAGAGAGGGTCCGCGAAAAAACCAGGCAGGAAATGGATACATGGCTGGAGAAAAAAATTTTTTTTGATTTATTTATCTTAAAATAAAGATCACATTTAGTTAGTATTAAATCCAAAATATTAGGTTTTTCTGACCATCCTTTATTAAATTATAACGTGTGTCATGATAACAGGTCTCATAAAGCCAAAGCAAAAAAGTCATTTTTCGTACTTTTTAGTATATCATAGACTTAACACGTTATTTTGAGAATTACCTCAGTATTGACTCTTGTCAAAAGAAAGAGCTTTTTTTTCCATCGAGCCATATAATTTTTGACTTCACATAAGTACCATTTTGGGAGAAAACAGGGTCAATACGATGATTTTTCGATCATATAAAGTGTGGTTTGTTTCAAGTATTTTGAACTTTTTGACTCAAAAATGGGAGAGTGCCATAAATTTTATGACATCAGAAGATAGCCCGTCAAAAATTGCATCTTCTGATGTAAGAATATCTAAGAAAACCGACGGCCCGCTTATTCAACTTTTTTTAACAAAGGTTATAACTGAACAGTTTTTATGCTAAGGACGGGGGCGGACATGCTAGCAAAATCCGCCCTATTTGAAAATTATAAGAAAACACCCACGAATTTTATATGGTTAGAAAGATAATTAATTATAATATTTAACTCTATAGTATTTTTCGTCAAGCTACTTTTTTTTCCTAATAATACTACCATATATATGTAAGGGTATATCAGCCTTAGTATGTAGAAAAACTTCAGGGTACAGTGTACTACAAAACCTACCAAAAGAACTAAGGCTATATATCAGTTGATGCAGCAGAAAATGTTTAACGAAAGTGTATAAAAGTACATGTCGTGCAACTGTAATTTACAGCGCTTTTGACACAAATACTTATCCAATCTATACATAGATGCGAACGAATGGTTGACTTGTATACTCTTTTGTCTGTTATTCGACCAGATCCCGGCGCCATTTTTTCTGCATAAATACCTCTTACTGTATGCTAGAAAATTTGAAGAACATCAGCGTTTCAAATGTTTGGCAAATAGTTCTTCATAACACCACATTAGTATTTCTATGGTCAACATATCGGATTTTATGAGGTCTTTCACTAAGGTCTCTATTATTCACATGGATCCCGGCGCCATTTTTCTGCATGAATAACTCTTCTTACATCTGAGAAATTTGCAAGAATATCAGGCATTGACATGCTTGCAGAATAATTTTTCATAGGATCACATTGATATTTTTCTGGTCAATATATAAGATTTCAGGAGGTGTTTCACTGAAATCTCTGTTATTCGAGCAGATCCTGGTGCCATTTTTTCTTCAGAAATCGCTCTTACTATATGCTACAAAAGTGTAGCAATATTACGCTTTCAAGTGCTTGGTAAGCACCTTAGACTGTTACTCTACAAATATATTTCTAATACTAACTGCATAGAAACCGTATGGAAAGTAAGCATATAATAGGAACTTTCTAGTTTTGGAAAAGTTCAAGTGTAGTGTTTCTCTGATGAGTTATATTTATGTATTAATAGCACAAGTTAACGCGACGCAAACGTCGCCGGCCCTCTACTGAAAGGATATGATGCTGCAGAGATTGGGGTATTTGAGCAGAAAAATACAATAACTATTGTATTGGTATACATACTGGGTAAGGACTATTTAAAAAACTTCTATATTATTTTTGGATGGGACACATCAAATTATATTAGGAAAAACATTTCGACTTTTCTAAAACTTTCGTATGAAAGAAATCTGTGAAGACTATCGTATACAAGAATGATAAAAAAAAGAGCCACAATGCTGACCTGTACAAAGCCTTCTCTGATCTGTGGCACATTATATTCTTGAATCAAGCTCTTTTCTTCTCACTTCACATTGAACTTAGACAAATGATAGAGTCTTACTTTAAAATTTTTTGTAATCCCTAATAAAAGTATTAATAAAGTGAAAACGTCAGCTTATCATCTTCTTTAGCAACTGCGATTTTTTATCACTAGTTGCTCTTGAAAACTCATTTTCTACAAATCCAAATCCAAAAACGCACGATAAGTTCGTCGACATCTTCAAAATCACATTTTCTCACACCGTAGCTTCAAAACACAAGATTGGCTCGAGTACCACTCCGTGAAATTTCCTTCGCCAACAATCCGCTCCGAAAAATGCCAGATTCTGCTAATTTTCTTGCCTCGCAATATACTTCATTGATAGCCCATATGAAAACAAACCCCTGATGGACTCGATTTCAGTTCCGCGAAATCCCATTGGCTAAGACCCCATCTCGGAAATCCTCGGATTGCGCCGATTTCGGCGCCGCTAAATCACATCGACTGTTGGCCCATATCGAAAAAACTATAATTGGCTGAACTCCGGTTGCGCCGAATCTCATTCACTGATAGGCCATACTCACAAACACGTGATTGGCTCAGCTTCCCCTGCGCGAAATCTCATTGGCTAATCACCTATATCAAACCGTCCCTCGCTGGCTGGCATTCGGCTTCGCGAAACCCCATTGAGTGAGTGCCCATATCGAAAAACCCTTGATTGGCTGAAGTTCTGCAGCACGACATCCCCTTGCTTAATCGCCCATACCGCAAAACCTCTGATGCCTCGATTCCGGCTTCGCGAAATCCCATTGGCTAAGAGCTCATAGCGGAAAGCCTCTGATTGGCTCGATTTCGGCTTCACGAAATTCCATTGGCTAAGAGTCCATATGGGAAAACCTCTGATTGGTTCGGTTTTTGCCTCACGAAATCCCATTGGCTAAGAGCCCATAGCGGAAAATCTCTGATTGGCTTGATTTCGGCTTCGTGAAATCCCATTGGCCAAGAGCCTATAAGGAAGAACTTATGATTGGCTCGATTTCGGCTCCCACAAATCTCATTGGCTAAGAGCTCATATCGGAAAACCGCTGATTGGCTGGATTTTGCCTTCGCCAAATCTCATTGGCTAAGAGCCCATATATGAAAACCTCTAATTGGTTCAGTTTTGGCTTCACAAAATCCTATTGTCTAAGAACCCATATCGAAAAACCTCTAGTTGGCTCGATTTTGCCTCCGCGGAATCCCATTGGCCAACAGCCATATCGAAAAAACGTCTGATTGGCTGGATTTGCTCTGAGCACAATCCCATTGGTTGATAGCCGATCTTGGAAAACCCTTGTTGACACGGGGAGTAAATTGTTCTCTACATTTTCACAAGGAACTCTGCTGAAGGTTAAAAAAACATTTTTTCGTTCTGTGTGAACGAACGAACGAAGTTACCAACATACGAACCTTGCTCGGTGTATGACCTTCCTTTCAGTAGAGGGAATAAGGTACTTCTAAAGGACTTCAAAATGTAATGATCCTGCGGTTTTGTTGCATACAGTAACGACTAGCGATGCTATCCGAAGTGGCTATCGACCGGTAAAAATCTCAGAGCTACCGGATCACTTCGGTTTTTCAGCTCGCCAATCTGACGGTAGACGTGCCGGTAAACGATAGACAGATCGGTTACCAGTAAACCAGCCGCCTCAGTCACGTCTAACGCGTTCAAACGGATGTCGGTACCACTTGTGAAAAATCTAGGCCTGTTCGATTTCCGGTAAGGCTGATTTATACCGAAAAGCTGTTAGCGCAATCCCTACGGGATTAAAATGTGAAACACGATATACCCATTGTTGTTCATTCCCTAAAACCTCGCCTTTTTATGTATACCGGGGTATGCTTTCGCATTATTCTTTACTTTAGAGCATAGAACTTCAACAAGGAGATACTCCATAGATATCTGAACTAGATTTGAGTTATACATGACCTCTGATAGTACCCTAAAGCTGTCCGTCAGTATGCGACAATCTCCAGACTACGTTTCTCACCCCTATGATAGTTCTAAGAGCTTGCCTGTCACGTTCTCTAATGAGTAGTCAATTAATTAGACGCGAATAAATTAATTAGTTAAGATGTCGGTCACGGTCTGTGACACTCTTTGAACTGTGTCGGTCACGATCTGTGATGAGTTATTAATTATTTAGACACTAATTAATTAATTAATTATGTAATTAATTAAGATGTCGATCATGGCCTGTGACACCATCTTGAGCTGTCAATCACGGTCTGTGACGCTTTATATAACCTATGGCCTTTGATCTATGACCCTGTGGGGAGGACTGGGGGTGGGTGCAAATTTTTACCCCTATACACTTCAACACTCTCATTTGCATCGTGTTTCACAAAAAATAACCGTGGAGTTGAAGCAAACAATAGGCATTCAACTGAAACACCTGTTTAGATTTTGTATATTCATCATAGA